AGGGGGGGGGGAAAGGAGGATTTTTTCGGTGCGGGGTCGGGCTGGCACGCACCGTAACTGACCGGCGGGGCGAGGAGCGGGGCGTGCTGTCCCCTCCGGGAAGGCTGCGGTTCCCGCGCTTGCAGGCACACGGCGCGCCTGCGGTAAAAGAAATCTCATCAAGCGCAGAATGGGTTTGTAATAAGTTTTTCAAATTGGTTGCCGCTGCAGCATAACCTTTAGACTACTGGTATTTAACCTTGTATATCACTCTTAGCTTTTGAATGAGTTTAGCTTAATAAAGGTGCCTTATTAAATTACCGGGCTGTTTTTTTAAGCTGCTAGAAATAGGCATACTAGGAAATAGCTTTGGGTTGTTAGATCTAATTGGCTGCCAGTGGAGCATGTAGCAGCTTAGATGCATAGATGCAAGCGTTTGTTTTTAGGTAGTAGTCCAGCGGTATGACATTATGACGTTCCAAGTCGAAGATTTCGGGCTGCCAGAATGCCCCTGGTGGTAAAAACTCACTCCGCTGCTGCTTGCCTTACGCCCCGGATCACCGTCCGAGACAGCCATTGCCCCAGGTTATGCAGCCACAGATGTCGCGGCTAGAACACGGCCTTTTTAATAAAGCGGTTTAATCGGTGGCAACCTGCTCGTCCAGGCATGGAAAACCGCCACAACTTTACCAGCGTGGGCTACTAAATGTCACAATCCCGTGTAGGAACTGCACTCGGGATCCCACGGTGCTGGGCGTTTTACAGAGCTTTACTGACGGAGTCCATAATCTGAAGAGAATGCACTGACTTTGTCCGAGACGGGACGCTTAGCAGCAGAGGTAGAACTTCAGCTTATCTAAAGGCACGTCCTTGGAAAAAGGGGAAAAAAGACACCACCGCCACCCCAACTTCTTGGCCAAAGCGAGTGAAATCTTTGTTGGATGCCGCGAGCCTAATCAGAACGCCGGTCCTCCTGAGTGCCCAGGCATCCTCCTGCATCCTTCAGACTCGGGAAGCGTTTTCAGAAGTGCCCGCTGTAATTACTGGCGTGCTGGCGAGCCCTGCTTGGGAGAGACGTTCGCTGCGATAACGCTATGGGGAATGCTCTTGTCTTCACGAGTGCGTGCGCGTGTGCTAAGGAAGCCCGGATTTATGTTGGAGGTGACGTCTCTGCGGCGTCCAGACCGAAACGCTGCGGGTTCGCTTTGCTGCTTCCGTTTGTTTGAAGGGGGACCGTGGGGCTGGAAAGCTGAAACGGAAGGGCTCACCTCCTGCGGTGCTGGGAGAGCTCGCCGAGTTTGCAGCTCGTTCTCAGTACAGCAAGCCTTCGGTGTATTCCTCTTGATTTCCATAAGTAATTGTCAGCTGGTAAACAGCTCATTAGAAATACTAAAATTTACCTAATGAAAACGGGATGGGAGCGGCAGGAGAGGCAAGCTGCAGGAGATGTTGCGCGGAGCTTTCTCAGCACAGGCTGCTGTAGCCTCTGTGTTCCCATGTAAATTGGGCTGAAAAGGTTTTCTGCTCTTGCTACAGCACCAGGGTATAATAGCGTCCATGTTTCTGGCGTGGGCTCTTAGGTACTGCTGCAAAGCAAATAATAAATAGTGAGCAGATGGCCGGGGGGGGTGGGAATTGTGAACGAGAGCACTGAGCGTGAGCGCAGCGTTGAAGATGCTGCTTGTGATGGCCTTGCTGCACAACACTTGGTTTAATTCGTCTTCCCGCGTTTACGCATCCTGTCAGTGCTCACGGTGCAGACCCGAGCGTCGCAGACCGAGCTTAGTACAGTATGGCAGCACTGCTTTTTGCTTTCCTGTGCTTTTCTTGTGGCTGCTTGCGCCACGTCCCCGTCCCCCCTGCCCAGGGCTGGCTTGTCCCCCCAAGCCCGGGACCGCCTCGGCCGTACCCGCACCGCGCTGCGACAAGGGAGCCCAGGTACGCCGGGGACGGGTCCCGGCCCCGGGGTTTGGCTCAAGGGCACGCTCGGAGGCTCTTTTCACCCTCCTACGAAGGACCTTTTTTCCCCTCGGCTCGCGCCTGGAGCGTACCGGTCGCTCCCACGTCTTCACTTGGCGTGTGCGGAGCGCTAAGCCTGTTTTCAGGCACGCCAAAGTCGCCCACGTTTCCGCTGGAAGCGGGGCCCTGCCCCTCGGGCGCGTGACACCCCCAAAGCGTCGCAGTCCCCGTGCGGCTGCCGCGGTTTCCAGCCTGCAGAGACGCCCGAGTTTCATAGCTGCGAGAAGCATCTGTAATGGGGATTAGTTTATAAAATGTTTGTGGTATAGTCATCTCAGGAGAGGATTTACTCGTGTAGCTTATTCCATTACTGAAAATTATGAGAGTTTAAATTGGTTAAATCCTGACACGGATTTTTTTTTTCTAATCTCTATTATTCCATAGGAAGCATGTTAATGAGTTAAACACAGTTAATAAAATGCAGCAAGCCAATATTTTTGGTAGCGGTTACTCTCAAAGGAAATAGAAACATTTAAATGGTTTCAACCTTTATGCATACTGATTTTTTGCCTGCCTTTGTTCCTTACAGTTCAGTAAATTCCTGAAAAATATATATGGCTTAATGGCATTTGTAGCATTGAATTGATTTCTTGCACCGATAACATTTTTGCTACGGCTTAGATTGCGTTTTTAATCTGTGTTTCAGTTGTAGGAGATAATGAATTTTTTAATTGTGGACTCCTGGTTTGTGGTACGGCTTTCTTTTCTGTCCTGCAGGGTCTTACTGAAGGGTTTCTGAGTTGGCTGCCTACCTATAAATGCTTTAATTCTCTGTGTTTGTTTTAGGATTTAGAAGAGCTTCCTTTGGACGAAATGAAACCTTCTGTTGTTTAAACAAAAGCAGCAGTGGCCGTGACTTCTTCTTTTTGTGTTTCTAACGAGCGTCTTTTGTAAAGCCCAGCGTAGTAATATGCGTGGACGCCAAGTGTTGTCATACAGTAGTATACGATAGGTGATAAAACCTATCAGTTCTGAGCACCGCAGATGCCTCCGGTTTCGCCTCGGCGTGAAGGCAGAGGAGTTCCTTTTAGCTTGAGCTAAAAGAGGCAAACTCCCAACGCAGCAACGTGTATTTCCCGGGGAAGCGCGGTGCTTCGGTCGGCGCGCGAGGTGCGGTCGGCTCCGGCTTCTCCTGCTGCCGCCCGCTTCGGCAGGGAGCACGCGCCGAGCTCGCCCGCCGGTTAGGCAAACGGCACGGAGGGGGCCGAGAGGAGCGCGGCGGCCGCGACCGCCTCTCCCTTCGGGCACGCGCGCGTGAACCTGATCGGGTTTGACAGGGGCGTTTACGAACTGATGCTTTTTTTCGTCCTGCAGATAAGCCTCAAGTGCGGGTTTCTCAGAATTACCCGGCGCAAGGCCTCACGAGAGAAGGGGAGCCGCTGGAACTGACGTGCGCAGCCTTTGGAAAACCACAGTAAGTTGGGCACTTCCCGAGGATGGACCAGGTTGTCCGGCAGTGACGGGGCCGCGCTGCAGAAGCGTGCGGACCTCGTTTGGCCCCTCTCGCTATTGCGGACGCTCAGTATGCCGTTCTCTGCTGCGAAGACGATGTAACAGCGTGGGAGAGAGAGATGCTTTCTGCACCTGAGCGTCTGCTGCACAACTAAGATATCTATTTTGATTTGCGTTTACCCCCATATGACTACATGGCCGAGGGGTTTCTGCTCAAAGAGCTCCTAGGGGAGCCTTTCGCGGCCACCGCGCAGCAAGCCCTCGGGTGCAGAAGGGAAAGGGCCCGCGCCTGTACGCCTCTTCCCCCAGGGAATGGCTTGGGTGGCAGTCGGTCGCAATTAATCTGCAAAAGCGAGGCCGGGGGCCTGCGTATTGGGTCCCCGTGAGGTGCCAGTACGCAGAAGTGAGACTGGCACCAAAGAGTTGGGCGCTTGTAAAAGTGGAATGGATCCCTAAGGTAAGGCAGGCTGTCTTTCTGCTCGTATTGACTATGTGATGGTTTTCCTCCCTTTTGGTGCCCTGTGTGGTTTTTACGAAATGCAAGTTTTATTCTTTCTCCTCTTCTTGCCATGCCCTCGAGGCTTCCTTATACAGTTGAAGAAATGTATGCATCAGGAAAATCCCGGCAAGGGAGGGTAGATTTTTCTTCCACACTTTCATCGTTGTTCTGATTTAAGTTTTGTCGACTTTTTTTTGTTTTGTTTTTAAAATACTTCCTCTTCCACTTGGATGTATGGCTGTCAAGTATTTACTATCCTTTTTTTATTTTCGTCACGTTCGTAAGATTTCTGCAAACATCCCTGAAATCTGCCAGCGTCTCCTTGGTAGCGTGCCCAGAGCTGAGGAGTTACTGCAGGTGTAGTTGAACTGGAAGCCATCTGGTTTGACAGCCCTGCTGCTGTGGGCAGCGGCAGGCAGGCTGTAAGCGCTCAGCAGCGAGGAGGCCTGGGGTACCGTCATCCCCCACGGTAGCGTGCCTCCTCTCCCAGATTATTTTGTTGATTCCTGCTTCCCAGTTTCTTCTGTTCGGCACGAGGCCGATTCCTTCCCCCTACACTAGAGACTGGCACGTCCCCTGCCGAGTTCCACTTTAATATCTATTCCCCGCTCAGGGTCTGTCAGAGCCCCTTTGCATTCCTCCTCTCATGGGTAACTGCCGTTCCTCCCATTTGCTATCATCTGGGAATTTAACAACTAGGCTTCTTTACTTTTTTTTTTTTTTCCCTTCCAGGCTATGAATAAGACATACACATGTTAAATAAGACAGGCACATCTCCCCGGCAGCATGCCACTTAACGTTACGGTGATGCTGGTAACGCGCTAGGAATTCCCTTATGTAGGTCACTTCACCTGTGTCTCTCAAAGCGTAAGAAAATATACAGTAAAATAATGGGCTGTGTTTAGCTCTATGTTTTTAAGATAAACGGATTTCACAAAATCCTTTGCCGAGGTTTAAGATGAACAGGGGTGTTTCTCCAGTTAAGCAAAATCATTTCTCTGCAAAATTGGGCAACAGAAACATTGGGGGAGGAGAGCTCAGAGGAAAACAAAAGACCAGAGAGTAGCAATTTCTATTTTGGTATTAATACGGGTCTTTTGTTAGATTAGACACACACACACCCCCCCAGGACTATGACGAAAGTGGGAAGAGGCTGGAGCAGTCACTTCTAGGACATCTCACGTCTCTGAGAAACAGGCTGCTGTGCAGCACACGCAGCCTGAAACCTTGGGCCTCCAGAGTCGCAAATAGCCTTTTGAAAACCGTAGCCAGGAGCATCAAAACCCTTCCCACCCCTATTGAGGCGAAACTGCGTGCCTGCTCTCTCAAGAGCTGCTGCTGCCCGTGCCGTGGCTCGTGTCTCGACGGCTCGGAAGCGAGGAGGAGAGCGCCAAGCCCTTGCCCAAAGCCAGATGCCAGCTTTGTAGCCGGCAGCCGATAACCCAACTGGTTTTGCTCGGTGTTGTATCCATCCCAGTTGTGTGGCTGGGATGCTGAAACCTCAGGAGCTTCTACATCGTGACAGTAGGCTACCGTTTGGGCGCTAGGAGAAGCCCGAGCTCTGAGATACCTCCGGCAGCACGAGCTCCCAGCAAAGTCCGACTTGCAAAGTTTGGAAGTAGACAGGCTGAAGCACGCTTTACTGCATAAACCTCCCCTTGTAAGAGCTGGCTGTTGAGCCGCCCCGAGAGATGCTCTATTTTTCTTGCTGGGGAAGGCTGTCTCAGGCGTAGCTGATCTGTCCTTACCGCTGCTTCAAGACTCTAATAAGTATAATAAATTTTTTTTTAGAAAAGGAAAAGCCCCCCTCCCAAGCCCCGCAGCACTCGCTCTCTTTGCTAGCTCTAGCAAAACACACTAATTTCGTTCCCTCAATGATGCAAACGCGATACTCCTTTTGGTTCCGGTAGCAAAGGGATGCAGGAGAGAGGCTGCCAGTTGGCCAGGCGGGACTGGGGGAGAGGAGAAAGGCGTTCCTCTCTCCTAGCAGCTAAAACGTTCTTGGTGAGCGGCACAGCCACCGCTGAGGTAAATAGGTCCATCGCATGGCTTTGCGGAAGGGTTCAGACTCGACAAAAATGTACGTGTTCTGCCACATGCTGTCCAGGTCTGCACTCAGAGCACCCTGCGGATGCACATTTAGTCCGTAGAGCCACAGATTTCAGGTTTACTGCATAAGCGAATGATTAACCACTAATGAACTTTCTTCCTGCTTGCATTAGTGTTTTCGGAAAATTTAAGGTCTGGATACAGTTTCCTGTTGGGTAAAAATAAATTTAAATTGAGGAAGCCCGACAGCATCTGGGCTTGAGTAGTGCAAAAAAGTATGTGTTATTTCTTTACAGTTTTTCTTGGTTTGGGCTTTCTGTCTGTGGATGAACTATTGAAGATGCCATCTTTACCATAGGAAAATAGTAATGTGATTGTTTCTTTTTCTCCCTCCTCTGTAGGCCTACGGACATGAGGTGGTTAAGAGTAGATGATGAGATGCCTCAACACGTTGTAGTGTCTGGTTCAAACCTTCTCATTAGTAACCTAAACAAAACAGATAATGGTACATACCGCTGTGAGGCTTCAAACGCGGTGGGGAAATCACATGCGGATTACATGCTGTTTGTATACGGTACGTGAGAAAAACCACCGTTCTTCTAGACTCATTTACACATAATTGCAACATACCGCGCTCTGAAAGCTTTGACGGACGTTAACGTTTTGCTTAATGCAAGATTTACAGATAGCTCCCGACACGTCTACGCTATGCCGGGCTGGGGTAGGGGCTGGAAAACCGTTGGTTTTGCTCCTGTAAGTCTCGGTGTCCTGCATCGGGCGCAGAGCCTGCTCCAGTGCCCGGTGAGCTCCTTCCTCCGGAGCCGCGCTCGTGGCCTTGCCACGGCACTCGTGTGCTGGCAGGTGAAGTCTAAGGAAAAGCCAGAGCAGGGGCACGGGGAGAACTCTGAAGTTCTCCGGCCTGACAGTTCTCCTAGGACTTCTCCGATAATTCCCGTTCCTTTTTTGTGATGCCTTCTCCAGTGCCTTCAGCAACGGTCCGGGGGGGGAGGGCGGGCGGTCCAAGTCTTTCATTAGCAAGTTAAATGACCAAAGAATCAGCCAGCATCCCCAGATAATTACAAACCAGTAAATAAACTGGAGGAATGAGATGTCTTAAGCCTCCCTGTGGCCGCTGAGCAGACACTAAAACATGTCTCAGCATCTTTTTAAAGTGCTATTAAGTACCTACTTTAATTCTTCAGTTCCTCTGCGTTGTTTTGCCATTGCTTTAAGCCTTGTGCTCCTGTCACGAGGCGCTGCTTATCATAAAGATTCAGTAGGCACTCGAAGAGTGATTCCCCCAGTTTAATTATGAGCAGTTCCCTTGGGCTGCGTATTTCAGCTTTCTCTGTTAAGAGCGG